GAGCGAAGGCCTCTTTTACATGTTTTCAATCATTTTAATTAGCTAGCTTTTTCGTCATTTTCCCCACTATATGGCATCCTTATCTTGCCAACTGAGGTCTCCTCCTAACTTCTGCCCAACCTCGCCAGAATTCCGTATGAATGGATATCCATCGCCAAGTGCGTGTTGAGGTAGACCCAAACACCGCCCTCCCCTTTCGAGGAGCAACTCTTCTTCAGTTCCGTGAATGGCGTGTAGCGGACGATACCTTCCCTTCTTTGTCGGATCGATTTATGATTTATGATTTATTATCGGCAAACTAGTTACAATGGTCGAGGTAAACAACTGTGTAAGAACAAACTCCGATAAGGTGAAAAAAACACTCATGGTAATACAAGAGATATAGCTGCGAAGCAATGAGTGAAGAAGTACCGATGACGATGGACCGATGACGTCGTAGCTGACATTCCTAGCTTACATAATCGGATATTCTATATGAGCTTATGACGAAAGTGTCTGGGCGCTCACAGTCAACGACATCATCATATTTGTTCCTCATTTAGGCAGCTTGTTCAGGCCTTGAGGTTCAACAGACTTGCCCCACTGGGGCAGCATCGTTGCGAACCATGGGGAATCGTATTTGATCGCGGGTGAGACGTGGCTACCTTCTTCAAAAGAGCTAGAGTGGCCTACTTGCTTCAAAAGAGACTAAAAAGGATAATGGATACAGTCTCTGCTCTTAATCAATCCTTTTTGGGAGGGCACGCATTGGGAGACGGCAAGAGAATCGTAATTTGCCGCTCCGCCGCGCGCGGCGATGGGCGCGGCGTTTTCTTAACTCGTGTTAACCTGTCGATTGGAGCACCGGACTTCATGTAGACCCCGTCATCGTAGACATTCATGACTATTTTCGGTTCTGAATTGCCTGTTGTCGCCATCTACTACCTGGAACCATCGTCATTTGCGGGCGCGACGTCCCACCAGCGCGGTGAATTACGATTCTCTTGTCACATACCTGCACGCATTCGATTTAGAAGGCACAGGAGCGTATTGAATGTGATATGCAATGACTTGCGGGGCCAGCCGATGTACATGGCAGTGCTATTATCCTCCTCGAGGAATCTGGTACCATACAGAGGGCAGAACGCCTGGTGGGCTTGGGCGGAAGTCGAGCAGAGGATTTAATCCGTGCATGCTCATGGTACGCGTGCCATTTGCACCCACACCGCCTCTACCCCGAGGTAATCATTCTGGTAATATTCGGCAAGACCGGACATAGTTTGTGAGAAGAGATCATACCGGAGGGAAATTTGGGGAAGGGCCGTAATGACATCGACAATTTTACCCATCCCGATGTTGTTCTTTATATACTCGGTGGTCCTGCCGAATATTTCGTATGGCGCCCCGTCATGCTTTGAGGAACTTCAAACCTGTGTTACTTTCTCGGCAATAAAATGACTTCTTCTTTCAGACTCTAGCTTGTCTCACAAGGCGTTTTACCTGTGATACAGTAGACATTCGGGCTTATGGGAAAGCATTTTGCAAAGTCCTAAAGTTAAGTCATGCTTGTCAAGCTGTACAGCCTCTCAGGTAGAACTCGAGACTGGGAATGGTGATCCTGGTCGAATTGATGCGACATATCGGTGAGATCTCACACTATTTTTTGATTTTTATTTTTTTCTATGATTTTTTTATTGGTCGCTGTGCTTCCCAATTACATGGAACCCAATGAATATGAAATATGTAGCGCCGCTTCGGGCTTCTTAAATGTCTCACTTTCTGTGTATTTCCAGGAATGGAAACCAATGATCCAGCAACTGGTTGCCTACGATTGACGGCGATTTGTACAGCTCAGGCGGGTTCCTTCGCCTTCATGGAATTCAACGTCGTCGAAGGTGGTCCGGCTGAGAATCAGGATATGGGACAAGTGAGTGATTGATCTTTATGAACAATATCGTTCAATAGCATGGTATCTCCCTTCTCATCACAGACGTACAGGGGGGGGAGGGCACAAAAAAGACACATCGGCCGAGTCACCTATCAGCGAAAATTTCGCAGCCCAGACAGAGGACGTGGGTACGAGTACCAGGGCGGAAGATACCCACGATCTTAGACAAGCAGGAGCTGGCTCTCACTCATCACCTTCATGTACATCAAAATATGAAGTCATCTCCAGTCGCAGCCTGACTGGAGAAGACCTATGGAATTCACGGTCACCTCAACAGACTGCAGAACTTCTTTCTATGGAGTTACTCACAGAATAGCTACCTGGATGACCTCAAGTACTCTTGATCTGAAGACCTCCACATCGAAGGGCAGTAGCGACAACGTCGTTACCGGTCGGCATGAACATCCTCTTCACCTCATTTCACCAAGACGCGGGTTTGTGGTAGGGACCGGACGTACCTGGAATGGGGAGACCGATATTCTCCTACGGACCCCGGACTGAAACGAATGCTAGCAATAACATCAACTAAGTCATGGAGAATATCCTGAATCCATGGTCATCGGCCTGTATCTTCTTGGAAACGTTGGTACTGCTACAGAATTTGGTGCCTCCACACGGAATCGAAGAGCGTCGGAAAAATCCTTGCCTACATAGAACGGAGGGGCGTTGAGTGCCTGAATAAGATGGAATATCTATGTGTGTCACCTGACCTAAACCCCTTAGATTACTGGGTCCGGGAGGAGCTTAACAGGGTGGTCTACAGTGGCGGAAAAAAATCAACGAGATCGCTGAACTCAGGCACCGAATCACGGTCGCGTGGCAGAATCTCTCGATGGCGCTCGTCCAGAAGGCTGTGGCGGAGTATCATGATAGTATACAATATGCTGTTAAATATGGTTGTGGAAATGTCCAATCAGAATGTAATGAAGTGTAACCTTACAGCACCTGAAGTCAAGGAAAAAGTGTTTTTTTGCCAGCGCGTTCCCCTGTAGATGATGCTGTTGATTTCCATCGCCCTATCCGGTTTTAACCTATGCCTTACCTTCTGCTCTCTTTTCTCTTTCTTTCATTTCCTGCTTGGCCGCTTCTTTCTAATTTGAATAGATTTCAAATTTCTCTCTCCTTAGACTTCTTTATGCTACTGCAGCAGAGAGCTAAAGCCTCTGTGGTTTAGCAGCAGTGAACCACTTCACAATTCGCTATCCAACGCTGAGTGCGAATTCCACGATCATCACGCAGGCTGAACCGGGTCAACCTTTGTGCTTTCATCAGTGCTCCTCTCTTTACAGCATCGTGATGAATGTGGTAGGTACGACCCCCCCCCTCCGAGAGAGGGTGTCAGTACGACCTCCCCCCCACCTAAATGAGGGTCTCGGTACGACCCCCCTTCCCCAACACCTACCTACCAATTTCCCCACATTTTCCAGTTTTTCACCCAAAGATTTTGCTGTCGAGCGGTAGACGGGGGAGGTATATAGTGCACATGAAACAGGAAAAATCACGCAAAAAGTCAACAACCGGAAAACCAACGCGACAAATTTCTCTCAAAGGCACATACGACCCCCCCCTCTCTCCCAACGACCAAATACGACCCCCCCCTCCCCAGAGAAAAAGTACGACCCCCTATGTGTTTCACACCAACGATGCTGTACCCTGTAATCGGAGCTAGGGGCGATGAGAAATGTCCAGTGATAGGTCCGGCCTTACCCAAACGTGTTTGGGATGTTACTAATGAATGATACATTCTAGACTGTTGAAGCTCTCCTGGAATGCATGGACGGTGCATGGTTCTACAGAGGTGTTCGGCAAGTGAATTCAGTTCAATGCACCGAGGCTCCACTGCCGTAGTCCCTGTTAGCCTGTCGCCGTTCTCCAACGTTGTGCAATAAATAATTTAATATTCGCAGCAGTTCGGCTTGAAAGGGGCACTGAATGGCTAACCTTTACAGGCCATCTTGTAAAAACCTGTATATGACCTGTTATTCAACATGAACTAACAAAAGGTACTAGCGAAGTGCAGATTGCTCCCTCCAAGCCGAACAGCGCCTGGTGTTTTTATGGTTCTGAGAGGTTTACTGTAACAGTCGAATAATTTATTACGCCTTCAAGTGATGAGATTCAATGTTCCTTCTTCTCGGTACCACCCGCCTTCACATGCGACACATACTTCTTGCCACCTTTACTGTAGTAACTGATGTTGTAGAATCTGAAATCAAATAATAAAATGTTAGTGATAACGTCATGTACTGATTGACAGGTAGGTT